CATGAGAGTTCTCCATGTTTTTTACTAGGTTATGGGCATTATTTGACTTCGACCAGGTGGGTCATGGTGTGTCTTTCCTTTGCAATGTAGCATAGTTGTGTGCTGGCCCAGTAGAGGGGAGGCTGCTTGGAAGATGAGCTTGAGTAACTTGAACTTAAGTAGTAGCTTTTTGTGGTTCCTGTGAATTCTGTCTGGAACTAACAGTCTTTGTGGTTCTCTTTGCTATTTGGCTTACAAAAATGCAGGCTGGAAACTTTGTGTTTGGTACTTTAGTGCTTCTTGTTTTTCTTTTTGAAGAGGAAAATTTAAACCGAGAAGGTTTTTATAATTGGACTAAACAAGTATATTAATATTACTTTCACCTCATACAGGTGTCTTTGTAAGGTAGATTTAATCCTGAAGTACTACAATTTTGAGGGCGTTTTTGAGGGAGGTTTTGGTATTTGTTTTCCCTTGCTTGTAAATGAAAGTAGACACTAATTATATACTTTGATCCTTAGAGCAGTTTAAACTTCTACCTTAAGGTGTTTATGCACCTGACCACTCACACCATTGACACCCTCCTCGCACATGCACAGATTCTGCCACCCTCTGAACTAGCTGCCTGGTGTTCAGCAAACCTGTGTGGCTGCCACTTTGCCATGTGGCAGAGTGAGAAGAAGAAACACAGGTGGTTCAGCTTTCCCAAGAAGCTGCAGAGGCATTTGCTCTAGCAGATAAAGCTAAGCAGACAGTAAAATGGAGAGATGTTATTAAAATACCGACCGCAACTTACTCTCTGGTGTGAGGTTACTATTTCCTGTACTGCCTCCAACACATAATACATTAGCAAGGGAAAAACTGTATTTCTTCGTTTTCAACAAAAGTACCTTTCTATGGAGCCCCTAAAATGATACATCCCTGCCCAGTGTATCAGCTGGCTTTCAGGAAATCTTGACAAATTTGTCCACAGAAACAAGAACTGTATTTTACTCCTGTGGTGCTGCTGAGGCAGCAGGACAGTGAAGTGGAAAGCTTGGTTCCAGTTGAAAACAATAGCAATAATAATTCTAATAAACCTTTTTTCTTCATTCTTTTTTTTAATTTAAGAATACATTTGTTATTTATTCCAGCTAAAGATCTACTTTTCAAACTAGATGGAAAGGAAATAGGCAATGAAAGATCTTCCTAGCTGCCTAGGGATCTTCAAAAAAAATGTTAGTTTGTCCATTTAAAATTGGCGCAGTTGAGCTGGGATTCAGTAACAATGAACGGAGGATAGATAAACATGGAGGATGGGCAATACTAAAACACTGCTGCCCACCTCGCGGCCTTTTCCTCCCCACCCATGCATACAAAAAGTAGCTCACGTGGTTCTGCAGGCATCCTATCAGGTGTGCAGAAGCCTCTCTGCTTTTCAGTGAGCTGAGGAGAGCTATCGATGTGGGTTTTCCCCTCCAGGAGTAGTGCTGAGGATGAGGTGCTCTGCAGGGTCACGGAGGCAGTAGCTGTCAAAGGAAAGCTTTGATCCTGTTTCTCTTGGTGGTTGGTTGGATAGTAAAAACAAAAACCTGCTTCCAAGCATAATTCAGTTTTTTTTTCTGAACAGTGTTGAGAGTCTTTGAGTCTTCTACGTGTCTAATGGACAGTATTAATGCTTATAATCCCAGTTCAGAATTTTTCATGGTGTGGGAGAAATAGCAATGTTGGTTTCTGTTCAGTTGTTACATGCAGTTGCTCTGCATCCTGGGTCAATGACTCATTCTTGCCTAAGAAGCTTCAATGAAGAGAAATGGAGTTATTTCTCTTTCTTGCCAACAACTCCTCAAATTTCTTTGTTTTGAATTCTGATGCCCTCCACTCAGCTTGGTGTCAACTCCAGATATAGTAAGCAAACTTTTTCTTCCCATCATTAATGAAAATATCGAATGGTACTGAAGCTATGGCCAACCTTTGCATAACTTGATAAAGCATTCCTCTGGCTTGAAATGTACCCTTCAGTACTTTGAGAGGTATTTGTAAAAGCCTTGGGGGATGACAAATAGCATAGCATTTGAAGTATATTCTGGGAATTGATGTCAAAACAGACCTAACTTCTCTCTCTTTTCAACCTTTTAAGGGTATGGCCTGCTTCCCTTTTTCCTGTAGTTTCAGAATTATTTCCATCTGTTGCAACTTTCTGCTGTCATTTGTGCTGGAGTTGCTAACAGTTGCATCACAGCTGAATCTGATTAAGCAAAACTTGATTTTCTTTTTAAGTGACACTACAAGAAAAAAAATGTGTACAGTTTTTAACTTACAACTACTTTTTTTTTTTTTGCTTTTACTTTGTCTATTCGCACCAGTTAAGTCTTCTGTATTCAACATGGTGCTCTCATTAGACTTTGTCCCCCTGCTTTTATCTCTTTCCCAATGGTTGCCTGTGCCTACACAAGGCAGCCTGAAATGCAGTTTGCTACCTTGGGCATGATTAACAGCATCTCACATGAAAGGGAAATGTTAAGAGGCAGGTGCCTGTCAATGCTCAAAAGCAGCTGCTCCAAAGCACAGTGTGTCTGCTAACAGTTACTTGGTCCTGCAGCCAGCCACTGTCATGTAGGACACCCCCTCCCCACGCCATACAGCAAATGTCCCTCTTGCATGACCTTGTATACGTGATCCCTTAGGTTGAGAGAGAAGCCACTGGGGAGATGAGTGTGACTTTGGAATCCATCCTTCCTGGCTTAATTTCCATGATGCGGACCTCACTTTTATTAAAAGAGGTGCAATGTAGACTTGCTTGTAAATTTAGGAAACATGGTTGAATCCAGATTGCTGTAGAAATTAAAGAAATAAACTGTTAAAAAAGTAAAAAACTGAGTTTAGTTACATAAAGAATTGAGCTGATAAATGAAAAGGACTCTCACAATAGCTGGTAATTTGACACAACTAATTAGACCTTTGTCCTAGCTGTGTGAGTTCTCAGGGGACTGCTCTGCTCATACATGAAACGGCAAGTTCGTGTACAAGCTCTTAGCTTTGTACATTTTGGACCCAAAACACCGTGAGTGTGTGTTTCGCACCTCGTGTCCTGGCTCAGGTTTAGCACAGGGCAGGCTCAGCCTCCAGGCTAGAAGGGCAAAGCTGCTTCTGCGCTGAAGCTGTCTCAGAGATCAGTGTGTCAGAGGTACCTATTTAATGGGGTTCATTCATGTGGCAGCAGTCCTGAACTGGTAAAATTTGATGGGATTTGATGGGATAAAATTTGCTTGTGCGTAAAACCAGTTGGTCCACAACCTGAACAAAAACACTTGCTAATAACTGAGTAATGACTCTATTAGTTTTCTTAGCGAGTCCTTTATATATTTTTGCATGTGAGATATGTGGTGTCATGTAAAATAGATGCCGGCATGAATATGAAGAGGCAGATCGCTACACTTTAGTTCAAGTTCAGTATTTCTGGAATAGGTTTTTTGGGTTTTGTTTGTTTTGAATCACACATTCCTATAAACTAGTGAAAATCCATCTTGATAAGAGGGATCTTTTGTTGCAGGTGAGGATGACTACTTTTTGAGATAGGATAAGCTTTTCTTTGAACTAGTTTGACATAACATTCACTGCAGGGAGAGTTGGATGGTGACATGATTCTTTGTGCAATTCTTTGTGTCAATGCACATTAGTAATATAGCCAAAAGTGTTTTCAAGTACTAATGTTCCCTTTCATCTTTTTGTTTTGCCTTGTTGATATTTTCACTTCATTCCATTTATCTATAGCCGAGTTCCCAATTTTATGCAATGTATGAAGCTCTGCGTGTGTGATATTCTCATATTAACAAAGCTATTTTTAACTATAAACAGGGAATTGAAACAACTCAAAGTAAGCTGACAGTTATTGCTTTTTTGGAGAGTGAGGAAATCTGAATTATGAGATCACAACCCAGTTATTCTTAGCCAAAATGTTCAACTATTCTAAAACATCCCCTGGCAAATCATATTACTGTACTATTATAATTAAATTAAAAAAGAAATATATAATTTTGGTTCCACAGTTGAGGTGCATGCTGATTATATTTTTTACCTATTCCTGTTCTGCTGCAGATTTGAAGACATTAAGTGCTGATACAGAAATGTCTCAGGCAGTGAGAAGTTGACTTAAAGGGTTAAAAAACCCTCTGTATCAGTAACTGTATCACAAAGAAACTTGGGAATTTCTTTTGTATGCTTATCTGTACTGGTTCTCTTTCTGATCATGAATACTTTTTTTTTTTTCTTTTTTTCTCCTTATTCATTTCAAGCAAGTTGATTAACGTGTGTTTTAATTGTCTTTTAGTTTCTGACTTATCCTCTCTTGCTCTTCTAGAAGGAGTTCTGGAAAGTCTACAAAAATGGACTTCAAGGAGAAAGTAACACAGGACATACCTGGTATTCATTTTACCTTGCATTTCCATTAATCATTGGCCTTTTTGTTATCCTCATTGTCATCTTTGTCATATGGAGGTGCCTGTTTAAAAAGAAAATGCGTCGGCAGTCGGTGTACCTGCGTCGGGGAGGCCACGACGTGCCGGGCGACGGTGCTGCGGCTGACAGCAGAGGGGCCCTCCCGCAGCCCCTCAGCCTTGTTCATTCCCCACAGGAGGAAATGTATGAAGTCAGTGGCCTTTCTCCAGGAGGCCTGAGCTTTGCGGACGGGCGGTCAGACTCGATATCCACCCGGCTGTCGAACTGCGACCCTCCTCCTTCGTATGAGGAAGCCACTGGTGAAATCAGTGTGAGGAGCGAGGCTGAGCAGCACTTGGATCCGCCCCCCCAGTATGATGACATTGTGAATTGCAGTTCAGCTGGGGCAATTGAACTGACTCCTGTTAACACCAGTATTAAATAAAGCAAGAAGAGCGCTGTGGACTTCTTTTAAAAACTACTAATCATTTTGTAGCACTTTATCTTGGCTTATTACATGTTTCTGTAATTTAATGGACTTGTATAATGAACTTTTTGGTTTGGGTTCATTTATGGTTTCGGTTGATTTTTTTTTTTTAATTATTATAATTTTCTTCCTTCCTACAGCAAGTCTTCAAGTTCAGGAATCTGTATAGAGAGTATGGTGCAGGTACAAACGTTGTGCTCTGTCATACTTCTCAAAAGTACCTCCACTTTGAGGGGTGTCACTTATTCTGATGGTTGTGTACATTTCCTACAGAATTGTGTAATCCCCTTCCCTTCTTGCTACAAACTGTCAGGGTCGTGTGAAGCAGGGAATTCTAAAGCAATTTTGCAGGAAGTTTTTACACTAAAGGGACTAATTTTGCAGTAGGCTCTCTTGCCTATTTGGTTTCTTTTTTTTTCACTTGGGTCTTTGTAACTTGCTCCACCATATCCTAGGCCTGAAGGCTGAGAGCATTTTGCCTTTGGGTATAAACCAGGATGTCAGCTGTGTATGCTGGTTTAATAGCAATAATTCCAGTCCTAATTACACACAGGGGATGTGTTCTAAAGCTTTTGCCACTACACCTCAAAGTTCTGTACCTGAAGCTAGTTGCTCGAGATAGAAATTAGAGAATTTAGGAGTACAGTCTTTTGTGTGTTCGGGTTTTCCTCTCAGTTTTCCTTTCTGTTCTTACTAATGAATCCTAGAGATGAGGTATATGCATATGTTAATATGCACCTGTAACTAATAGTAGTAATAGAGTTGATAAAATCTTGTTCACTTGCAAGTAGATACCAAAGCTACAATAGTCTTCACTGGGACCAGGATTTCATCTGTTGTCCATAACATGAATCCTAAGGTAATACTTCCCTTTTAAAAAGAAAAGGGAAAGCATTGGGAGTGTGTGTGTTTTGGTTTTGTTTTGTTCTTTTTTATTATTAGTATTATTTTCCTCCTTTCCCTTCCCTGCTTCCTTCCCACTAATAAATAAATATCCCCCTCCCTAATCCTGTTGTGTTTGCTTGCACCTTCTATTGATGGCTATGGAAATCCATTACAGAAACCTTTGGTACCTTTTTTTTCAGCAACTTTATTGCTTATCCCTTTCAACCAGGTGCTCTGTTGCAAGAATTAACTTTGTTTTAAGGAAATAGAAGTACATTAGTTTTCCGTTGTTTCAGAGAAAAATGTACTTCTATTAATGACATGAATTCTTAAAGTGCACTCCATTCACAGCATAAAGTTGTGTTTTTACTTCCCTCCACAGCTTTTAGGCTATAGGTGCATGGAGTGATTTCACATGTGTTAAGCAGAGCAGGAAGTGCTGCTCGGTGTGACAGTCGAGGCTGGCTTCACAGCTTGTGTGCTGTGAGCTCTGGAGTCCGCCTCACAGAGTGCAGCAGGGTGAGGGCCCACCGTGTTGTATCTCAGGGACACAGTGCAGGCATCTCCCAAAGCATAAATTTGGAGTCACTTGGAGGCTGAAGAGGTATGGATTTCTGTTAGGTTCAATGCAAGGTAAACTAGATGCTTGTATAAAATTTCAGCCCCTGGTTTAGAAACTGCTGGTGGTTAAGCAGCTGCAAGCTGTGGCCTGGCTGTGCCTTTTTCCATAACTGAAGCAAGAGTTCACTAGTCAGCTGAGCTTGTGAACATTTGTTTTTTGGCTCTCCTGTTGTCAACACCCAGGTCACATGTCTTTAGCTTTAATACTGTCTCTATTCTACTACTCAGCTAACACTAACCAAAGTATATTTATCCCTAAAGGACTGCAGTGCTAAACTGGCCTGCTTAAAGTGCCAGAAAACCAGACTGTTCCAAAGGCCTCAAGCAGAGCACCACTGCCTTTTAGTGTCATGCACTCATTTCTGTCATCTGCCCTTGAGGCTTGTGTCGCATGGGGCATTGATCTAAGAGTCTTCCATGAAGGTGTTCTTATACAGTGTGGGCTTTCGGGGTCTTCCCTAAGGAATTTTACAGAAAACTGCTGCAAACAAATATATGGCTGCACTGGGTTGAGTGTATAGACATACCTCTGTAAAAATTTATACAAAGTATTTGCAAATGAAGTAAGGGTCCTGTGAGTGACTTCATTCTCGTTTTTGGCAAAGAGCAGGTTAAGTTGTCTACCAAGGATCTTTTTCAGTTGCTACAGTAAAGTAGCATGACATCTAGACCCAGCTTTTGTTTTAGAAAAGAAATCCACTTTTTATTATTTGTGGAAAGAGATGTTGGGCAGATAAGTAGAGTTTGTTTTGGGCAATTGCAGAAAGAATTGCCTGGGCCTCGTCTTTGAGCTGTCTGACCTTTTCTTTTGAAGTGGCTCTTGTGGAAAGTCAGAAATTGCTGGCGGTAGAAGTTCAATCTCCTCTTGTAGTGAGCAGCAGTTAATGGGCTCTGGCCAGGCGTGACCAAAACCACGTGCTCCGCTCAGCGCGGGGAGGCACCTGGGACAGAGCTCCTGGCCAGCTCTCCCTGCCGGAGCGGTGCCGGCCGCGCAGGCCAGGCCAGGCCAGGGCTGGGTGTGGGAAATGGGCAGAGATCGTCGTGTTCACGCCGAGTCCTTCAGCAGCTCCGGCCCTGGACGTGGCACCCTGGGTTGGAGGTGAGCCAGCACTGAGAGGTTTCCAGCAGCCTGTATTCCGTTAGCTGTTTCATGGGCTTATGTTCTGGTTCCTAGTAAGAATATGTTGTTACATCCTGTAGGTATTTTTGCTTGAAATACAAAAATGATGCTTGTTCTCCAAAAAATAAAAAAATGTTAATGGTTTTGTGATTACCACTTACTGGGCTGGGCTTTTTTCCCTATTCATGTACACAAGCAATTTTGGTTGATAAACTAAGATCTTAGTGAATATGTTTTCAGAATTAAACTTTCATGTGGGCCGTTATCATATTTCCATGAGCAGCTTTCTCCATCTTTGAATAATGTCAAATTACATTTTTTGTTGTTGTTGTTAAAAGTAGGAAAATAAACTTTTTAATCTTGTAGCTGGCTTTTCTGATCTGATTGGAAAATAAAATTTCTTTTACAGTGTTTTTTATGCAGCATTTTTTTTCCCAGTGCACTCAATGATTGTTATTAGTTTTGAACTGAATTGCCATGCAGTAAATATTATAAATTTACAGTTTTACCTCTTTGAATGTTCTACATGTCTGACAGCAGTATTGGCTTTGCTGGTGTAGAGTCAGGATGCTGCCTTTTCCATTTTCAATTATAAAATTGAATTTCATCTTTTATAAAGAGTAAGACAAGTTATTAATAACTGAGTTCAATAGGGATGTGATTGTTTAAGGAATTATGGAAATTAAATGTTTGCTTAGATGATGTTTAACATCCATGGAGGTTGTTCTGGCTTTACTGGTTTTAAATAACCTCTGATTACAGTATTACACATTTTAAAGGGTTTTGGTTTACATTAAATTATCATATTTAAGCATTTAAACATTCTATGTTTCTAGAAGACTTTTTTGTAACAATTGTGTTTTGGATACGCAAAATAAAATTTTTTAAATGCCTTTAACGCTTCAAAGTATGATTCTGTGCAACTGTAGTTAGAATCAACTTCTGGAGTGTTTAAGAGATGCTGTTTTCATTTCCGTTGATTGTTATATGTGCCTTATCAGTGGCAGTGAATTGTTTTCTTTTGATTTATTAAAATATAATTTTAATTTTGTTTTCAGGTTGACTTGATATTCTCTCAGAACTTTGTCTCACTTTAGTCAAGTTTTGGACTTGGATTGTTTGCCACGTAAAAATAAACGTATTTACAGTAACCACAGCTAAGTAACAACGCAGGTAATGGTAAAAGCAGAAATTACTCTTTATAACAATAAAAAGCATCAATACATTGTTTTTTTAAAAAAGAGGGTTTTCAAAGTTGGCTTCAAACAGTCCATAGAAATTCTTTGCCCAGTTCTGCTTCAGCTCTGTGAACATGGCAAACAATAGCAAAAATTCTTGTAATTATATGGACACTTGTTGGAAGACAAGGGTATCTGTTCCAAACGAGAGAAATTCTGTGGCATCCTTTCTTGCTTGGCTGCTGCTAAATAGGCTAAAATGTCCCTGGTATTTTTTATGCTAACATGCCATAGGACTGGAATGAATAGGAAATCTTATTAAAGTGTGATAGAAGGTCCATATTTCAGAATTTTGTGACCACAAATGCGGTTTTATACTGGTCATAACAATAGTGCATAAAGAGACCCTTGGAACAACGCATAATTTTCCAAGTAATTGGCTTGTTTCCATGTAGATATTAAACAAGTCCCAGGGTAGGCTTTTATTTGCACAGTTCAGAACAATGTCACTGGAACGGAGCCGTGTTCCTGGTTAAGTGACATTCACGATGAATATGCAGTGTCCTGAGCACGCAGGAATTGGGCTTGGCTGTCGAGTTTGCAAATGGCTCAGTGCATGATTGCCTCTACAGGCTGAACCGAAGAGGATATAGTGCTGAACTGGTATCATGGATCTCAGTGCCTATAAAGAACAGCAGATTACTAGTAATGCATGAACATTATTTACTGCTTCATATACGCTAAGCACTGTTTTCTGCACTTCTAAATCACACTGATAGGGTCCATTTTATCTCCTGTATAATGCAAACATTGTAAATACTGCCTCATGCTACTTGTAAATTTTCAAAAAGCAGAAAAATCATGCTCATCCAAGAACAGTGAGATGACATCTGTGCTATTTCACTGCTTGCTGCACACATATTTGATTGATTTGCTGTAGGGTAATTGAGCTTTGCCAGAAATTTGAATCCACTTTACTCTCGCAGTAGAAACAGTTGCCTAATCTCAGTAATTGTACTTACGATTTGGCAGTAGATTGTCAAATGCCAAGTAACAAGAAAGTGCAAAAAAGGCCATGGCTGCGTTCTGTTGATTATACATGTATATAGTATGCAGCATTTGTCTAACATTTGTCTCTCTGCAACAGTGTTTGCTTTAATACTTGGACATTCGTGTTCTCATTCCCTTTGCTGTTTTCCTCTGTTTCAGAAGTTAAAAAACAAACAAAAAAAGGAATCAAAACCTTTTGCCTAATCAGCAATTTTCTTCTCCCCTTGGAAGCTTCACACATTCCAGCCTGACTGCCAGGGTTCGTTTTGAGAAGCTTAAAGCAAGAGGGAAAAGGGAACTTTGGGAATGAACTTAGCATCCTCTTTGTATTGAAATCTCTGCATGTGAAGTAATCTACACCAGATTGTCTCCCTGGCCTTTTCTGGGGCATAGGGTGTGTTTTCCCACAGAATACGCCATAGGTTAGAGGCTCCCAGTTTTCCTTTATTTTCTTACTGAGCTGTCATCACTGACAGTGGTGCAAGAGCAGCGTTTTGCTGTGCAGGAGGATCCCATCGTTTCGTCAGTGCTCGCAAACTCTGAGCTCTGTGTACGTGAGGACTCAGATCATGAGTTCCCTGCTGGCTGTAGGGCCATTCGATACAAACTGAAAAACACTGTAAGACCCAAGTCTCAGTGAAAGGAATGATACAACACAAAGTCATCCCTGGGTTTTTCCTAGATGTATTTTCAGAAGTGGAAGGGGATTTGTCTACCCTCATTCCTTGTCCTCTTATATTGCTGGCTTGGTCATAGTCGCCCGGTACTCCAGTGCTGGACAGACACAATGAGGGTCTGAATGCCTGCGATTTGGGGCCAAGTGCAGGCGTCAGGCTCCTTTACCCACTTCTGCATATTCTACACGCTCTTTAACTTGTAATGTTAAAGTAGCCACCACATACGAATCATTTCCAAGATTAAACCACAGCAGACAGCACAGCATTTCTTACCAAATCTTTCTATGAAAAGTGGTATTGTTGGAGCAAAGGATAGTGTGACTTAATCTCAAAGGTTTTCTGAAGTAATTTCCACGCCCAAGTGCTGTCTTTTCCAGTAGTAGTATCTCTTCATACATCTCTGTATCCTTTTTCACTGACCTGATAGTGTTGGGGCTTGTATTTTTGAACATTTGGTTGCTGTCTCTGAACGTGCTTCTCTCATTGAGCAGCCACATGAAATCACACTTTGGATTGTTTCCTAATCAACACCTACAACTTTTAAGAGCCCTAGTAAAAATGCAATAAAGGCGAGGGACGCACACGTATGTACTTGCTATTGGAGTGAGCAAATTCCTTTGTGAAAGCACTTGCCAAGTGGAAAAGATTGAAGGTAAACCTCAATTTTAAAAGTAAACGGCTGCTTTCCAGAGAAAAAGATGTGGCCCCAAAGCTCTAGCTGAGCGTGGTGCTCTGCACCTCTGCTGCTGTGGGAAGCCTTGCAGCACCGTGGTGCTTTGATGCAGAGCCGCAGATCCGTGGTGGTGGCGTCTGTGGTGCGTGGGCTGGAGTCTGTCAGCTGGGCTAGTTGGGGACGAGGACCGGGGAGAAGGGCTGGCATCTTGGCAACAGGTACAGCCGCGAATTGCTGTTGGTGTCACTGCGGGTGTCACCTGTACTAGGCACACTGTAAAGCTTAAGGTCCTGTGCTCTCGTGAGCCTGTGGCAACTCACCATAATTTCCAGTGGGTGAAGGGGACACACGGACAGCTGGGAACCAACCGTGGCTGCAGTGCGTGCGCGCTCGTAACGCCCTCCTGCAAATCACCTTTTCGGAGGGGGTCATGGAGACCAGCACCAAGTTCTCCCGTCCCCAACACGTCCCTGCGGCCTGGCTGTGCGAGCCGAGCCAGCCCGACAAGCTGCCATTGGTGCCCTTCCCAGCGGCTCCGTACGGCCTGACCAGAGCAAAGCAGCTGGAGCAGGGCAAGGAATACAGATGCTGCCTAGATCTGTATTCTGTATATTAGTAACAGCTGCCTTTTTTTTTCCTTTTTTTTTTGTCCATATAGTTTTAATAATGTAAAACTCCTGCAAAATGAAACAATGCCTAACACATTTCATAAGATATACCTAGTAATGCTAAGAAGCTAACTGCTTAGTTTTTTCCGTTTTTTGATTTTTTTTTCTCCTAGATTGCTGGCTTGCATTTCATTTCGGAACAGTGTTGAAAAAAAAATGATCTCTCCTTGTTCTGTTCCCTCCCCAAATAATCTTGCAGATGCTCTTACATCAAGTTATGTAAAAATTGATATTATCAGTGTACAGATTCTTTAGGAGATGAGTAGGTTTAGAATTCATTTTCTACTTGTATTATTTCATCCTGAATTTATTCAGCCTTATAAAATGTTGTTTGTAGCTCCATTTCTCTTACTCATCTGTGCAGTAGCAGTGTTGCCTTTCAGCCTTTTCACATCGGCAGCTTTGCTCTGTGAACACCGTTCACCACATCCCTGGAGCAAGGATTTGAATTTGGGTCTCTCCCATTGCTGTTGGATGCTCTGCACATGAGATAACAATGGTCATTTTCAAATTTTTCAAACTGCAAAATCCCTTGGAATTTCCTACACTATATGCATATTTCCATGAGTAGTGAATTCAAACCTTTTTCCTGTACAGGCGTGCTATAGCCTATAGAGTATAGGTTGCTTCATTACCAGTTTACAGGCTGCTGCAAAGCAGAGCAAAGGCTTTTGGCTGAAGCAAGCAGAGGTTTGATCTGCTCTTACATGCTGGTGGCATCAACCTTCCTGTTATTGTTTTGAATCATAAGCTCCATCTGGAACCTGGACATTTTTTGCCAGTGAAAGTTTGTTGCTTGTTTTTATCAAAGCTGGCATGGTCCTGTGAGCAATCCAGTGAGATTCACTGAACTACTCTTCAGTGTAAAGCAGTTATTGAAAAAAAGGACATGAACAGAACTAGTTGAGTGCCAAATGATTGACTAAAATGATGTCTCCTGGCAACTTGGCTGAAAAAAAAAGATCATCTAGTGTTGCTCATTTGGTCAGAGATTTCCAGATTGCTGTGTAAAAATATATCTCCATGAAGTTAATTAAGCTATTTCAATTCACTAGTACTTCCTACACCAGAGTATAGCAGCTTTGTGCCATACAAAGCTTCTCCAAGAATCATGTTAAATGTATAAAGCCCATTCTTAGTCTTCTATGTCAGGTGCAAAACACATGCAAAATGCCCCTCCTGAGGCTGCCTGCTTAGTAAGGCCACCCCAAACCCAAAGCTTTCCCTTCCTTCTGGGGTGCCCTTGCCCAGCTGTTCTTCTGTGCCAGCCCTTGGGGAAATGCCTGTGGAGCCATGTCTACCATTGAGTATGGATGGGCTTTCACAGCTGGTGGACCTGTCACCTGGCATCCCCTTTGTACTGGTGATCGTGGCAAATAAGAAGCTTGCTCAGAAGCCACATCATCCCAATAGCCGTTTCTTTTAAAGAGATTGCTGGCGTTCCTGGTGCACAATTGCTCTTCTTCCCAAGGATTTCATGGGTGAGATGCCACAAGATGCTACGCTGCTATCCCACTGTGTTGTGGGATAGGACCTAATGGAGATTAGTAAGGAGCTATTGGCTGAAGGATTCCCAGCCTTCGTGTGGCCTTCCCCTTTTTCTTCTCTGGTACCCTCCTCAGGCTGTGATGACACTGTAGGCCACTAACACAGCCACTGCAGTGCTTTATAAAAGCCTAAATTGCCTTGGACCTGCAAAACCTAGAGATCAGTCTTGTGCCATGCGCTTGCAACTGAAGTTAGGAGCATCCTAGCTGGATTTTCACTGCAAAGTTGGTGGTGTGCAACTCAAAAGGTTTCCAGATCCATGGAGTTTGCTTTCTCCCTCTCAGACTCATACGGCCTTAATTTTACTATCTTGGAGACATGTTGTAAAAGCTGCAATATTTAGAACACCGTGAGAAGATGATAACAAAATAGTTTGTGGGTGCTTTTGTAATGTTACTGCCACCATTGTCCAGCACCTGATGTATTCTTTTTCCTTCGCTTAGCTTTTTAAACTGCTGTCAGGTAAGCTAACTTACATTAATAGAATCCACTGAGTGTTTTTTTTTTTCACAAGCATAATTATTGGAAGGGCATTCAGAAATGTTAAAAGGTCTCCTTTAATGGCAAATCTAAAGAAAGCGATGCAATTAGATAACGGGCTGCTCTTTTTCTTTTAAACAAAGAGAGAAAAAGGAAAAGCTTTAGGCTGAAGAGACTGAAAGAGGCTGTTAGAAGACTGAAGGTCAGCTAAAGCAATTAGACTAATAGGAGTACAAGAGTGTCAAAAGTCCTCTGGACCACAAAATGTTTTTGCTCATGTACGTGTATCTCTGATACCTTATAGTCCATATTTTGATCGAGTTAATACATGCTTCTCTTGGTTTGTCTTTGTGGTAGGATGGATTTCCAGGTACCCAAGAAACCATACGGCGGAGGCATTTTCAAAAGGGGGACACTGGACTAGTCACATGGTGCCAAGCGCTTCAGAGCAGTACTCACGTATCCAGTGACTTGCCCACTAAACTGCATCAGCCAGTTCAGATACCTGGTGATATCTGTGTGGAAGCAACATATTAAGAAACTGTGAAACAGAAGCTCCTTAACCTGTAGGAGCCATGCAGAGGGAGGTGTGCAAGAATAGTGACGTTATCGCAGCAAAATCATAGCAATTGTCTAACCCCACAGACCTTTTAGTTCCTTAAGCTTTTTAAATTACCTTTCTGCTCTTCTCCTCTAGTTGGAGGCCTGTAGCCAGCGGGGTCCCCCAGGGGTCAGTCCTTGGTCCAGTCTTGTTCAATTTATTCATCAATGACCTGGATGAAGGCACAGAGTGCTCCCTCAGCAAGTTTGCTGATGACATGAAACTGGGAGGAGTACTTGATACCCCAGAGGAGGGCTGCGCTGCCATCCAGAGGGACCTGGACAGACTGGACAACTGGGCGGTGAAAAACCTCATGCAATTCAACAAGGCCAAGTGCAAGGTCCTGCACCTGGGGAGGAATAACCCCAGACACCAGTACAGGCTGGGGACCGACCTTCTGGAGAGCAGCTCTGCAGAGAAAGACCTGCGTGTCATGGTGGATGATAAGTTGACCATGAGGCAGCAGTGTGCCCTCGTGGCCAAGAAGGCCAATGGAATCCTGGGCTGCATTAAGAGCATCTCTAGCAGGTTATGAGGAGAGGCTGAGGGAGCTGGGCCTGTTCAGCCTGGAGAAGAGAAGGATGAGAGGGGACATGATCAGTGTCTATAAGTACCTCATGGGAGGGAGTGAGGAGGGTGGTGCTGGTCTCTTTTCAGTGGTGGCCCCTGACAGAGCTAGAGGTAATGACCACAAACTGAAGCACCAAAAGTTCCACATGAACTTAAGGAAAAAATTTCTTAACAGTGAGGGTGACAGAGCCCTGGAACAGGCTGCCCAGAGAGGTTGTGGAGTCTCCTTCTCTGGAGATCTTCCAAACCCGCTTGGACGCAGTCCTGTGCCACGTGCTGTAGGTGACCCTGCATGTGCAGGGGGGTTGGGCTAGATGATCTCTAGAGATCCCTTCCAACCTTAAGCATTCTATGATTCTATGATTCTTTTGGTAGTATGTGTAAGGCTATCTGTGCTTGGCATCTGATCATAACACCAGGAGAGTTTGGCCTGCTGCATTTCAACTTTAGAAATGAAACGAGTGCTTAAAATTTTATTTCTGTGTATGCTTGAATACTCAGATATTGACTCTCCTATGCCTTCGCTGTGAGAATGTCTCTAAGGTAGAGTAGCAAATTACTGCACCTGCCTTGAACGATTAAGTGGGATGAACAGTTGGCACTTGCTGTGGTTGAAAAGCTCTGATGACGCAGTGAGAAGA